AGCCTTTGTCTTCGAAAAAGAGATCCCCCTGCAAAACATTGCAAAACCAGCCAAGCCAACCAACAAGCCAAAAAATGAGAGAAAAACAGCAAAGTCCAGCCAAACCGAAAATATAGCCCATAAAACTTAGAAACGAATGTAGGGGAGATTTAAAGTATCTCCAATGATGAGTCTCCGAAGATGGGCAATGGGATGTGTGCCAACGTGACAAGTCTCCCCTGCATTTTTAGCAAGTCAATCCGCAGAAGAGTTGCCCTCTCTATGAATAAACTTCCATCTAACCTCAAGATGTTTATCAGCTATAAGGATCATTATTATTTTAAAAATACTAATTAAATCCCAAAGAGTAGAGTTAGTACCAACCAAAATATCATAAAAGTATTTTTGAATCCATCTCCACCTCCAGCTTACGAAAATTAAAGATGCTAGCCACCACTAGAGCAAAAAAAACTCCCCAACATTCAACAACCAAAGAAGTTTCGACAATAACAGAGGAAGTGAAAAAGAGAAGGCATTTCCCCTCAAAATTTCTAAAAAGACTCCCAACCGCAGCATAATTAGCACGCCAACAACCATCAACATTTAATTTCACATAATTAGCATGCGGGGGGGCCCACACAATAAGCCGAGGGGCCTTAGTGGTTTTATCCAGAATGAAATCCCAATTGATGGTGTCTTAGGCTTTCCTAACATCCAGCTTGTAAATTAAATTCCCCCCTGCAAGTTCTGTCTATTTCAGTCACAAGCTCTTGGGCCAATAACACACTATCATTAATGCTTCTTCTAGTGATGAATGCAGCTTGATTGGGCCTGATCAGTTTGGAGAGATGGGGCTTCAATCTATTCACCAATATTTTGCTAATGAGCTTGCTGAAGACAGTGGTAAGTGAAATGGGTCTGAAATGCTGCTAATGGTATCTTTCAGCAGGTTCGGGAATCAAAACAGTATTGGAGGCACTGAAGTAGTTTGGAAGAGTATGTCCTCTAAAGAAAGTTTGAATTGTATTGATCACGTCAAATTTAACTATATTCCAACACTTTTTATAGAAATTTGACGAAAAACCATCAGGTTTAGGGTTTATGGACATAATCAAGCTCCTCCTGAAACAAACAAAGCATCCAGTTGGGGCATCTGAGCAGAGAATGAGTTTAGGATGTCCTGGAAATACTCCACAGCAACCTTGGCAATGAGAGACTCTTCATGGAGTTTGATCCCTTGAGAATTCACAGTGCTATAGATATGTTGACCTCAATTTTTGTGAGGTCTAGTATTCCTCGTAGGAGTTAGGATCTAGCCTTAGGGGTCTTCCTGCGACTATCTTAGAACCTTAGAAGTGGTGCCCGCCTCGTTTTAGTTCAACCTATTTCCGTCCTCTTTTGGAGTTTCGCGTGTGCGGTATCGACTTCTAACACTTAGAAGGATGAAACCGACATGAGGAAACCCAAAATGGATTCCTATAGGACCTTCCCGAGCCTTAGGGTGACCTTCTGCACAATTCGCACTCCTGCGCGCACC